GAAGCGCGAGCCATAAGTTACAGGATAAAAATCTAGTCCTGAAGTACTAGGAGGCTAACTGCAGAGGCAGGAAGGTGGGGCAGATTTAAGGGTAAAAGCTTTTAGTTGAACATGATTTCCTTGATCTTTGACATATGAAAACGGTGACTGTGAAAGACATTTCCACAAGTCTCTCTTTCATCCTACTCCAGGAACTGGTGGTTGGTCCCCAGCAGATTCCAATGCCCAGCAGTGGCTCCAGATGGACCTGGGGAACAGAGTGGAGATTACAGCTGTGGCCACGCAGGGAAGATACGGGAGCTCTGACTGGGTGACGAGCTACAGCCTGATGTTCAGCGACACAGGGCGCAACTGGAAACAGTACAAGCAAGAAGACAGCATCTGGGTAGGAAATACTTTGTTCTTCCAGTGAATAAGACTGAGATGTGCTAATGGTAACCAGTGAGTGTTTCTGCTGTTTTGCTATGCCCAGATTGTAGGTGGCTTAATCACTATTGAGTGCCCATTCAGAAATAATTGGATCACATTTCTAAGCCCTATCTCCAGCAAGGCTGCAGTTCCAAGGGAAATCAGGATGTCAGCTGTGGAAAGTTCAGTGAGTTCTTCCATTTCTAACAACTTGGAAAGTCTTCTGACAGAGTCTGTTACGTCCTATAAAAATAGAGAAAAACACCATCAAAATCTGATTGCCAGTGAGATTGGGTCACCGGCTGTTTTTGTTTCTTTTCCTGCTGTATGATAAAAACTCTGACAAAAGCAACTTAGGGAGAAAGGGTTTGTTTTGACTCACAGGTCTGGGTTACACTATCATGGCAGGGAAATCACAGCAGCAGGTGCCTGAGGGAGTTGGTCACATGTCATCCTTAATCAAAAGAGAACGATAAATGCAGAATGTATGCTTTTGCTTAGCTCACTTATTCCACTGTCACACAGTCCAGGATCCTAGTCAGGGAATGATGCTACCCACAGTGGGTGAGTCTTACACCTCGGCACAATCAAGATAATCCCCCACAGACATGCTCAGAAGCACATCTCCCAAATAGTTCTCTATTTTATCAAGTTGCCAATGAACACTAACCATCATATTGCCTGAGGATATATCTTTTTATTTGTTTATCATATACCTGGCATTTTATATACCTTTAGACAACCTAACTACCTTAGTTATGTCACTTGTTCAAGGTTGCCCAATGTGGGAATTTTGTCTGGGGAATCTGTAGTCTTGGCTGACTATGCTAAACAGACTGCAACTAAGGTTTTTTAATATCTTCAGCTTTGGAGTAATGTGTTCTGAGCTGTAAAACAGAACTTGCTCCTCTGTTCCCACCTCATATATTTGACTGTATAAGTAAAATGTCAGTAAATTCTTTTTTGAAGGAAAGCAAGGAAGAGAAATACACAGGAAAAACAGCCTGGAGTGTCTTTAGAAAAGGGTGGGTCAAGGTTGGGGAGATAGCTCATTGGATAAAGTGCTTGCTATGCAAGCAGGGAGTTCAAATCCCCAGAACCCATGTCAGAACTGGATGGTGAAGAGACTTGTAGTCCTTGCACATGGGAGGTAAAGACAGGGCATCCTTGGAGCAAGCTGGCCAGACAGACTAGCCAAAAAAAATGCCAAGCTCCATATCCAGTGAGAGACCCTGCTTCAGTTGATAAGGAGAAAGTGATCTAGAAAGATACTCTCAATATTAACTTCAGGCCTCCATAAGCACACATATACATTCACCACACCCACATACTTACATGCACTCCACACACATATGTGCCCACATATGGGAATACATATACATGCACGCACACACACACACACACACACACACACACACACACACACACACTACACATACATATACACACGGAAAAGAAACTTGTTCTTTGAATAAGAATATATGAACATTTGTGCTGTTCTTAGTTTGGGAAAAACATGTCACAATTTTTCAGAGTCTATACAATATGAAGACAGGGCTATGAACAACATATTCTTTCCCTCTTAGGATCTCCCTGGTTGTCTCCTCGCTTTAGGGTAATGCATCTTTCTATATTATCCCAAACTTGTGGAAAAGAATGTATTTTAGCTTCGTTTTATTTGTTAATTGCTTATCTACCATTTGAGTTTCTAATTGAGATTAAGAGTAAACTAAGAATTTAGAACAATTACAGCAAGCTGAGTCTTCAGAAAATTATTCTTGTCATGTTTATTTGATTCACTTATAATACTAAGTTGCAATATCTTATTCAGGGCATGGCTTTTCATTTAAAAAAATAGACTTTGAAAACTCTTTACTTTGTTCTCAATATTAAAGTCTCCATTCCATTTTCTCAGATTTTTGCTTGATTTGGTTTTCAGTTCAAAGTGAGAAATAAGCACAGAATCTGACCTGAGAAACAATTTTAAATTTTTATGTTGAGGAACAAATAAATGTGGTATTATTTATTTTCTCTGACAACCTGGATCAAAACTGGTTGTTTTCAGATGGAGTTGCTGTGTTTCATTTTTTCTGAACTAAATGCCCTTCTTTCTGCCTGGGCCTTAGGATGTATTTCAAGGTGCTTTGTGTTTGGAAATGGCTGCTAGAGGCTCTTAAACTGCACTTGCCTGTTGGTTTACTTGTGTTTCAAAATTTCAAACATGGCATGGTGGTCTACTCTTTTGAACCCAGCACTAAGGAGGCAGAGGTAGATAACCTCTGTGAGATACAGGCCAGCCTGGTCTTCATACCAAGTTCCAGGCGAGCTGGAACTTTAGGATGTTGCTATCTCAAACAACGATAAAAGTAATTTGTAGCTCCTTCAAGACAGGACTCTCACTTTTACATGTCCATGCAGAATAGGAGCACCGATTTTCAGATGTTTATTAAAAGATTGTAGAATCACTAAGGTTTTAGATTTGGTGTAAAGGGAGAAGGCTGTCCCTAGCCCTCTCCCATGACCCTAAACTGCCTTGACACTGTTGAGGGTTGTAAGGCAAAGCAAGTTTTATTTCCATGTATATTCAATGCTAAAATTATAGTTTCTGTTTTTCCATTATAATATTTGGGTTTTTTTTAATTTTCTTTTTTTTTCTTTTCTTGTCTGAATTATGAAGCTTGTCAGAACTATTCTTTGAGAGCAAAACTAAATTCTACTGTTCAACTCACACAGCGTTAAAAATAAAAGAAAGCAACAACCACACCCAACTGTCTATATGTTGCAAATAAAATAATATCTAAACTCTGAAGCTGTCTAGGAGTATCTTTCCAAACAAGATTCGGGGTGCTTTACAAACATTTCACAAAATTATGAAAAGTCATCTCTCTAGCTAATATGTATCAGAACCTGAATCAGAATATGCCGTGAATAGATTGTGTTGGGTAGGAGAAATGGCTCACTTAGTAAGGTGCTTCCCAGACAAGCATGAGGATCTGGGTTCCGGCTCCCAGAAACCACAGCACAATGGGGCACACTTGCAATCCTACCTCTGCGGAGGCACAGATGAGTAAGCCCTGAACTCACTGCCTGACAGTCTAACAAAATCAATGAGTTCAAGGATCAGTAGGTGACCATATTTCAAAAGATAAGGTGGAGAGTGAATTGTTGATCTCTGGCCTCTGCACACACGCACACACAGGCATGCAAGCACACACACATATACACAGGAGACTAATATTTTTCTTCTGAACTTTTATCTTTAATTTCACTTTAGGAATGAGGTCATGAATTTACCTTGAATGCAAATGGAGTGAAATGGACAAAAAAGAGGCTTGGACTAGAGCTGTCTACATGGCCTACTTAGCTTTTCAGAAATGTCAGCACTTAAGCACATCAGTATCGAGTATCAGCTTCATTAGGATGATGCCTGAAGAAAGTCAAGAAACTCTTGGTTTTCTTTTAAAAAATGTTTTATTTTTATTTTTATTTTATGTTTATGAATGTATTCCCTGAATGTGTGTAAGCACACTTGTGTCATACAATGCCCATGGAGGCCAAAAGAGGACATCAGATCCCCTGGAACTGGAGTTACAGTTATTAGCTGCCATGTGGGGTCTGGGAATCCAACCTGGGTCCTCTGGAATAAGAACAGTCAGTGCTCTTAACCACTGAGCTATTTCTCCAGCCCCAGAAATCTCTCGGGTTTCTTAAAGACTTTCTTTCTTTTTTGTATGTCATACAATGCCCATGGAGGCCAAAAGAGGACATCAGATCCCCTGGAACTGGAGTTACAGTTATTAGCTGCCATGTGGGGTCTGGGAATCCAACCTGGGTCCTCTGGAATAAGAACAGTCAGTGCTCTTAACCACTGAGCTATTTCTCCAGCCCCAGAAATCTCTCGGGTTTCTTAAAGACTTTCTTTCTTTTTTGTATGGAATCCAACCTGGGTCCTCTGGAATAAGAACAGTCAGTGCTCTTAACCACTGAGCTATTTCTCCAGCCCCAGAAATCTCTTGGGTTTCATCCAATGCTCTGATTATAAGCAATGCTTTACAAAGACTAGCAGCTTTATCATTTCATGAAACAGCACTTTCTCCACTTAATAGCTATGTGGAAGGGAGGAGTAAAAAACAGGGTGCCAACCATGTAATGATTCTCAGTATTCTCAACTTGGCCAATCTGTAGTGGTTCTTTTTTGTTTACCTTATTGTTTTTTGAGACAGGGTCTTCCTATGCAGCTGACATGTCTTGGTCTTGCTATGCAGCTGAGGAGGGCTTTGAACTCACAATCTTCTTGCTTCACCTCCTGCAGTTTACATTATAAGCATGCATCATATCTAATTTAACATCTTAGATTTAAGAAAAAAATCCTTTCTAAAATGCCTCTGAAATAACTTTGTTTAGGGAAGGTCTTCAGTGACCCAAGGGCAGGTAGTGGTCAAAAAGTACAAAAATAAAGTGTCTAGCAAAACTCATAATTTTTGGGGTGCTGTATGTACATATTTGTGTATAGGCACATGTCTGCACATGCACACAGAAGTCATAAGTTGATGGAACCTTTAAAAGACACCTTTAATATACATAGGAGAAAATCCTGATGCCCTAAAAATCCAATTTGGAGAGTTTCTGATTTGGCACTGAGTGGAACATTTGTGAACGAGGCCACGGAGTAGTCACTTAGCAATGCCTCGTGATTTATGAACAAGCCAGGCTCCCCACTTCACTAAATAATCAGGCGTGAAGGTGTCTCAGGGACAGACTTAGTGACAGTTTTAGAATAATGGCAGATCTGAAGTTTGTGTAATTCATGGTGTAACCATGTCATAAGGACGCAAATAGTGAAGTTTTAACTCTGAGCAGCAGCATGAGTCAGTGCTCAGTGAAGTGTGGAAACTGTTTGGAACAAAGGGAACATAATTAAATGCACTCAGGCCGCATCCTGTTATTATTCACATTGAAATATGTGCAGCAAGAAACACTTCTGTTCCTGTGACACCTTGTTTG